TTTTACGTATTTGAAGGAAGCATCTAATCTGCAAGGCACAAAGGAAAAAAGACAGTAATAAATGCGTTTAGACGGTTGTTCAGCTACATTTCAACTGATTTTGGCATTTCAGATTCATGGAGCAGCATCCGGAAATGGACTTCTCACAAGCTAAATTCTCCTAAATTGGCATATTCTGTTGCGTCAAATTTCCACGTTTTTTTTTTGTGCTTTCCGATATTGTGATGTGTGTTCGTTTTTCTTTTTTTTCTTTTAACTGGCATCCCAGAGCATGGTGGAAAATTTTATGCGATTCACAGCTACGCCAAACATTCATTAAGCGATGGCATTTGCTACACACATATCCCTCAAATTGCTAATTCGTTATTTTCATCGTTGAAGTTACATAAAAAACTGTTTGTTGATGTATGACGCGAAATAAAGACAGAAATGAAGAACGGAGCATGTGTATTTATGCCATTCACGTAATAAAATGACCGAAAGAAAATAGATAGTCCACGTATAATAGCTCCCGAACCTACCCTCAAATTCGTGAGGGAACAGAGATGACAGTGGCTAGTGGGGAATGTCCTAGCAGACTTCACCAAAACAAGCCCCACGGCTCGGACAGGTGTGCCAATGGAAAAAGAGGGGCAACTAGAACTCGGCAATGTTGGATCGGGTTTGAATTACGATTCTCGTGACTTCCAGGTGAATTTGAATATACGTAGGTAAATCTGAATTAGAATTTGGACTTCAATTTGGCGGGGTAGGGAAAGACGCGGGGATAATGGTGGCTGAGGAGTTGAGTGAGACTCCCGGTGATAGAAATTGTAAAAGGAGAGGGTTATATGACCTTGTGATGCCCAGCAAGACTTAATATCGAGTTAGAGCCGATGAACCCGAGTTTTTGTTAGATTTCACCCGGCAGTAATTCGGCAGCAATTTCCATGTAGAGCATCGTAAGCCACAAGGGAAGGGAATGAATTCCAATTAACTTGTGGGAAACACAGTGGTGCTGTTGGCAACAAAGCTAGATTGCAACGACTGAAGCAGTTGTGAGGAAACCTTTAATCACAAGATATGATTCAGGATCATTTCGGGAACAAACCGAAGCTGTATACTAGTGTTCAAGTTTTTGATTTCTTCAAGCACTGTTGTGCTGTGCGAATGTGCCAATGTTCAGGATTTTTTTGCTTCTAGTGAGATCTCCACATATTGCCATTTTGGTCCCATTTTACTGCCGGAAGTACCTAAGCAATATCTCTAGCCACACAAGAAGATCATACACGATCCCTAGCGCCCGTCAAATTGAATACGGCTGTGCAGTAACAACAACAATTGTATTTTATGGTTAAAAACGAGCAACAACTCGAGCGATTTAAAACGGAAACATATTAGAGCTTGAGCTTTGTTCGGCGCCAATGTCTTCTTTTCGCATTATACCGTATTTTAGTGCCCGTCTTCATGCGAGCCCATTGCGGCAACGGCCTAAAAATTGTTGTTGGTAACAATAACCCCAGATATGTTGCTCGTCTTGCCAACAACCGGTGGGCAATGCGCATTAGTGAGTGGTGCCCATGGGAAAATAAGTGACCACCTGGGTGACTTCCGAACAGGAACGCACATACACAGAAGGGTAGTAAGTACTAACTGGAGGTATGCAGCTCAAGATTGAAGGATCTGATATAACTACGCTCGGTTTGTGGAAGCAACTACGTAACGTCAATAACAGGGAATATCTACACTGACAGTCTCAGTAGACTTGGTTTTCTCGATATTAGGCTTAGAATCATAAGTTTGATAGATCGAAGGGTTTGGTATAACTGCACTCGGCGTGAAGGAATATCCACATACATCACTAACAAGGGATACCTACACTGACAATCCCAGCAGACTTGATTTTCTTGGTATCAGCCCTAGAATCATAAGTTTGGCGGCATAAAGGTGCAAAATTGTACAGTTCGCAGCCAAAAATTAGAATCTACTGAGCAAGACATGTTA